ATTAATCCATTCCTTCTCATAATATGTCCCAGCCAGTTGGCTTTCCTTCGTGTAATCGCCTGCAGAATGTTTCTTTGCTCGTTGACTCTCCTCAATACTTCTTCGTTGGTCACTCGATCCGTCCACCTGATCTTCTCTATTCTTCTCCAACACAGGGATAGGGTAGGGAATATTTTTAATTTTTTAAAAAAATTCAAAAATAAAAAAATGCTAGAAATCGTCTAAAATGCGCACAAAAAAATTTTTGAATTTTTTTTGAGGATGAAATTTTTAAATTTTTTTAATTTTGTGCGCTTTTTGGACAATTTCAAGATATTTTGTTTTTTGAAAATTTTAAAAAATTGATTTTTTCAAAATACTCCCCATTCGAACCCTGCCACAAACGGTCTGCCTTACATTGTCTCTGCCGGACTCGGTCTCTGCGGGACTCGGTCTTTGCATGATATGGTCATTGTATGACCCGGTCTCTGCAAAGACCAAGTCCAACAGACACCGGGTGATTCAGAGACCGAGTCCGACAGAGACCAGGTGAGGCAGTGACCGAGTCTGACAGAAACCGGATGAGGAGGTGACCGAGTCCTACAGAGACGGGGTGAGGCAGACACAAAATCCGGCTGAGACAGGTTGATGCAGTGACCGAGTACGACAGAGACAGGAATAGGCAGAGATTAAGTCTGGCAGAGAACGGTCCAAGAAGGCATCGGGTAAGGAAAATTGTTAAATTTTTTTTTCGAAAAATAAAAATTGCTGGAAATTGTCTTAAAAGAGAACAAAATTAAAATTCTTTCTAATGCATGAAATTATTTTTGAATCCAAAATTTTCCAATTTTTATAATTTCGTGAGATTTTGGGAAATTTCCAGCAATTTTTGGTTTTTTGAAAGTTTCGAAAGATTTCGAAAAAACAAGAAATGCCGGAAAATGTCTAAAACGCGCATAAAACCATTTTTGATAAAATTTAAAAAAATTGTGAAATTTTTCAATTTTTTTTATTTTGTGCTGTACCATGTTTCTTTTATGACTCGGTCTCTGCCTACACTAGGTCACTGCTGGACCCGGTCTCTGTTGGACTCGGTTTCTGCCGATCTGAGCCAGAGAATGTCTACCGGCACAGGTCTCTGCTGGTCTTTCTCTTGTACTGTGTGTGCCGGACTCGATCAGTGACGGACACGACCTTTGCCGGACACGGCTCGTCGGTCCGAGTGTCTCTGACTCGTTCTGTATTATACCCGATCTTTGTCGGTCCGAGTGTCAAATTTAAATTTTTTTTAAAAAAAATTCCAAAACTTATTAAATGCAATTGAAACGAAAATAACTAAAATTTTTTGAAAATTTTGACACTTTTTTGAAGTTGGCATTTTTCAAAAATTTGCAGTTTTGTTCGCTTTTTGAACATTTTCCAACAATCTTTGATTTTTGGAAAATTTTAAAATTTCAAATATTTTTTCAAAAATCTCCACACTCGATCACATCTGTAGACTGTCTCTGCCGGACACGGTTATTGTTGACTC